TGATGTATGGTGAGCATGCACCATTAATTCTTGTACATTGCTTTCTTGATTTTAAATATGATGGTATTTATAAATATATATATATATATAATAAAAAATATATATATATATATAATATAAATGGTATTTATTGGTGTCCTTTCACTTTAGTAAAATTACTAAAAGCTAACGGATATTACAAGATGTATAAATGTGCATTAAACACTTAGCAGTCTACATGTGTTTGTTGCCTCATTACAAACTTCACAATATACACGTTAAACTAAAAAAAGACACAGCTAAACAGACCTTATGGCATATTGGGGTGGCTCTGAATAAATCTATAATCCATATATCCGACATTTTGCCTTCTGACAAGCTGCCTGCTTCACAAAACTGCTCCTTTTTAGTCTTCCTGCCTCTCCCGTTTTCAAAATTAGAGTCTCACTTACATAGTATGCTTAGTACAAGCTTAAAAACAAGAGGAAAAAATATTGTTGTCTTAATGTCACAAAGAAATGTTGAGGCCAATCAAAAGCAGACTGGGATGTGCATATTAATGATCCAGTTTGGATCAAAAGAGTCTGTTTTGTTCTGATTTAGTTACCAGAAATTTACACTAATTTACCCGACAACAAGTAAGCAAAGGTTTTTGAGGCTCACAGTATGTCATTATCATGCATGTACTAAACTTGTGTTATCCAGTTATGTCAATATATATCCAAGTTTTCATTCCAGGGCACTATTCAATTAGAAACTGGTACTAAATGTTAGCCCACCCTCCCCTAAAAGCAGCTCGAATAACACATGAGTCATTCGGGACTGTTATGTCTGAGCTTCATCCCGCTGCTCCTGGACAAAACATCATATACTTTAAGCAGTTCTCTCTTACTACAGTTCATTTACTGCAGCAACGTTAACATTTAAAGTAATTACAAAGCCTCAAGGGAAAGAGCCACAGCAATGGCTCTGCGGTAAAACTACGATAACTGGCAGCTCTGGTTTGGAGCTCATTATGTTTTGAAGGCCTCAGGTCAAACAAGATTAGATTAGGGTCAACTATGAGAATTGTAGCATTATTGTAGGAGGTTAAGCTTTCAATCCACCCTGAACAGTCCCGTATGGTCTCATATGTTCTAATTAACCTTAGCAAACGGTGCCCGGACTTAATAACGGTATTAGAGGTAAATCATGTTTCCTGTAGCATACCAAAACTTGACAATCACCAGACCATTAAAGAGACTTCATGTCTCTTTACATCCTGAAATAAACACTGTGCATTCATGCTTTTGTTTTCGGTCCTAAAATAAATACCCACAATCCCATGGTTTCACCACTAGACTTCAACAAGAGGCCTATGTATGTAAACAAGTACTATGAAAACAAGCCCTGTATTAGTTAGTTGGTGAATCCGACGTTACATTGAATGTGTTTGGAGAACGGTAACAAAGTTATTCAGACACATCTGTTTGAAACATGCCTTCACAAACATTTCAGAAAGCAAAACGGATTTGAGGTTTCACAAATGTTAAAACAACAGCCCGAGGACATCCAAAGAAGAGCAGCGTGATGCAAGAGAGGACGGAAAGAATAACTGCGATTCATGACTATGATGATGAAATGATTCATGACTGAGAAACGATGAGAAAGAGCATGAAAGAAAGAGAGACGTGAATAAATAGCTGTGTCCCAAATGGCACACTATACACTATGCACTATGTACTTATGCACTTACACACTCAACAGGACAGTATATGTATGTAGTGGCGTCCCAAATGGAGCACTAATGTTTTTTCACTAAGCGGAAATTCAAACCGTTTCCTTGATGACGTTTGACGGTCGCCAAATCAGTGAAATAAATGACCAAACTATCAAATAATACCTGCCGTGAGTATTGCCGCATTCACCATCGGGAGGTGCTATAATCACTCTCGTAGGAGAATTTTGCTTTCACCATCCAAAATAAATAAAGTTATTCAACATGTGCGTCCGATAGCTCCGCCCCTTCCGCTACGTGAGCAAACCTGCGGTTGTTGAGTGCGTGAAGTGTCCATCATTACACACTTCATTTTAGCGGCTGAATGAGTGCATCATCCGGGTAATTAAAGTGCACTTATTATTTTTAGAGTTTTCAGTGTGAACGCACTACTTACACTATTTATACTACAAAATGGCATAGAATAGTGCATAAGTATGCGATTTGGGACGCAGCTTATGAACTCGGACATACTACTCGGCTCGCATACTGATTTTAGCGTACTATATAGTATGGAAGTATACGGTTTCGGACGCAGCTTAGAGCTTTTATTCTCATAAACTGCGCGGACGTGAATGCGTCTGACTGTTCTGATTGGCTAAAGCAGACGTCTCACGTCAGAACGTTCTAGACGTGCACGCGCTCTTTCCTGCAATCTTCCTTTTGCGTTCACACAGTGCAGCATTCCGGCAAATTACGTTAATAGTGCATAAGTATGCGATTTGGGACGCAGCTCAAGTTGTCCTGTGCTTATTTACATTGCTGTGTCTTAATTTGTGTTGGCCATGTGCTCCTCTTGTCTTTCCTTGTTTTCAGTTACCCCGCCCTCTTATTTAGACCTTGTTATCCTGATTGTGTTCACCTGTCTCTCATGTGCTTTGTTCTATATATTGTGCTGTGTTCTCATTTCTTTGCTGGTTCGTTCCATGTCTTGTATCCTTGCCTTGCATCTTTACTGAGCTTTTGGTCTTGCCTGTTCTAGTTCACTTGTCTACTTATTGTTTGTTTGTAGCGACTACTTTATTTTGTTTGTTTCTAGTGTTTACTTAATTTTGTGTCATTCATTCATTTTCTTGTCGGCTTAGTCCCTTTATTAATCCGGGGTCTCCACAGCGGAATGAACCGCCAACTTATCCAGCAGGTTTTAACGCAGCGGATGCCCTTTCAGCTGCAACCCATCTCTGGGAAACATCCACACACACACTCATACACTTCGGACAATTTAGCCTACCCAATTCACCAGTACTGCATGTCTTTGGACTGTGGGGGTAACCGGAGCACCCGGAGGGAACCCACGTAAACGCAGGGAGAACATGCAAACTCCTCACAAAAACTCCTCGCCATCTGAGCCAAGGTTCAAACCAGCGACCTTCTTGCTATGGGGCGACAGCACTACCTACTGCGCCACTATATCGCCCCTTAATTTTGTGTTCTAATTTTACTTTTATCCTTAGAACCATTGTTGTTCCATTTTCTGTCAGTCCGTCTTCTTCGTAATTTATTATTTGTTGTTGTTGTTTGATTTGTTTAATTACTCTCTTTAAGTTTTATTTCAGTTTTGTTTTATCAGATTGCTCAAGTCAGTCTTTCTCTCTTCTAGTATTTGATTTTATTTCAGATTTAGTTTTATTATTTTATTGTATATTATTGCTGCCTGTTTGCTGTCCTGCCTTGTGTATTACAATTTTCCAGTCCTATGCTGTGTCCTGACCTCCCTGGTCTGCCAGTCTGGAGTTTACGTGGCTTGCTCCAGGATCTAGCTCTGGTTTTGACCACTGTTGCTCCTACTCCTGGCTGGCTGTTCATTTTAGTACCATCTTGTCACTACCACTGGCTTCCCTGTGTTTTTGCCCCTACCGTTTGGACCTTGTCATCCCCTTGTGTGTCTACTTGTGGTTTATTCTGTCAATAAACCCCTTTGTATGGTTTATTGCTGCCACTGGGTCCGTTTTCTTGCAATCATCCATGACAAAATGATGTGATGGACTGAATAAATAGTGAGTGAGCAAATTTTCTTTTTCTTTTGAGATTATGACCAATGAATATCAAAACTTTTACATTCTTATTTTCCAAAATGGTCTGTTATTTTCCATTGTCCATTTTTTAACCAGCAGTTTGAGAGAATAGGTAAATATAAAGCTGAGAGAATTCTACTTAGCTGTTTTAACAAGAATAACAACAACAAAAACATAATAAAAGCGCTTAATAAAATACATTAATTAATTAATTAATTAATTGATTGATTAATTAATTATGTTTTTTGAGCAGCAAACAAGCATGAGAAATAAAAATTAGAATGAAAAATAAGAAATAAATTCTATTAAAATTGGCGACACAGTGGCGTAGTAGGTAGTGCTATCACCTCACAGCAAGAAGGTCGCTGGTTTGAGCCTCAGCTGGGTCAATTGGCGTTTCTGTGTGCATGTTCTCCCTGCGTTCGCATGGGTTTCCTCTGGGTGCTCCGGTTTCCCCCACAGTCCAAAGACATGGGGTAGAGGTGAATTGGGTGAGCTAAATTGTCCGTAGTGTATGAGTGTGTATGGGTGTTTCCCAGAGATGGGTTGCAGCTGGAAGGAAATCCACTGTGTAAAACATATTTCGGATAAGTAAACGGTTCATTCCACTGTGGCGACCCCAGATTAACAAAGGGACTAAGCCGAAAAAAAAAATGAATGAATTAATTAAAATGGAAATCAGTTATTTATTCATTCATTTTCCTTCGGCTTAGTCTCCATTTCAGAGGTCGCCACAGCGGAATGAACCGACAACTATTATGGCATATGTTTTACGCAGCAGATGCCCTTCCAGCCGCAACCCAGTACTGGAAATCACCCATACACCCTCATTCACACATACATTCACACACTATGGCCAACGTTTTTTTTCCAATTCACCTATAGCTCACGTCTTTGGACTGTGGGGGATATCGGAGCAGTTGGAAACCCACGCAAACATGAGGAGAACATGCCAACTCCACACAGAAATGCCAACTGACCCAGTTGGGACTCGAATTAGCGACCTTCTTGCTGTGAGATAACAGTGCTAACCACTAAGCCACCATGCCGCCAAAACAGCTATTTTAAATAGTAAAATATTTGATAATTGTATTGTTTTTGCTGTACTTTAGATCAAATTACAGCAAAAACTTGATAAGCAGAAAAAGTCTTAAGAAAAGACTTAAATCATTAAAACTAACTCTTCCAAAGGGTTCCAGCCAATAATAGCCACATTAGAAATATTATGAATTGGAGATATCCAGTGTTACCTGTTGCTGGAAGATTTTCGCTTAAGTCCCACTGGGTCTGTAGTGAATCCGGAAGATCATTTTCAATGACAACTGCCAAACTACTCCTCCATTGGTCACAGTCTTGAAATGAAGACACATTATGTTTATTTATAACTCAATAAGTAATCATTTATATTGATGATCTGCTATAGATATTCAGTTAACCATACAAGTAACTTTCATTAGAGCATTAGTAAACTGCTAAGTCAGGGTTTGTAAAATACTTTGACATGTATTGTAAAGGTTTCCCAGAGATGGGTTGCGGCTGGAAGGGCATCCGCTGTGTAAAAACTTGCTAGATAAGTTGGCGGTTCATTCCACTGTGGCGACCCCGTATTAATAAAGGGACTAAGCCGACAAGAAAATGAATGAATGAATGAATGAATGTATTGTAAAGGTACTAAAAGTCACTACAATATCTGTTGGTGTTAGCAAACATTAAAAGATTACTTTACTTACAAAATGTTGTCATTAATAAATCACACTCAGAAAAGGTCCAGGATTAATTGGTACCGGACTGCACAAATTTATTAAACTAAAAAGGCTGACACAGTGCCTTGAAACATTGCACGCTTTGTGTCAGCCTTTTTAATTTAATACATTTGTATTTTTGGAGCTTTGGTGTTGCCGCCTTTGATGAATTTTTCATTTGCACCCAGTCAAGAGGGATGTGTGTGCTTTTGTACAGTTTTTCATTACCGGGCCGCACAAGAAATTAAAAATTATTTCCATTTTATTTATCATCTGAGTCTGAACAATCTTTTATTTTGAAAAATCTTTTATTTTGAAAACTAAGTGTATTCTCTAACTTGCATCTCGGTCACTTGCTTGCCCAAATTTAACCCACAGGCAGCAAAATGGATAAGGAACATACATCTTTGGATGTCTCGTGAACGCGTAGCGGTCAGCGGAGCTGCGTACAAACGGCTGCGCAGTTGTTCAAATCTCCATTTGCTGACAGACAGATTGGGCTACTTATCGGAATTATGAGAGATGTCGGTCCAACTCTATTTAATTGGATGAACTTTTTTTTTTTGTTTTATGCCAAAATATAAAAATACATATAAACACATTTCGATCATTTACTGTAATCACTACTATTAGACTGTGAAGAGACTTTCAACCAGCACAAAAAAATGCTTCTGAAGACAATCACCTACTGCACCTTTAAGATTTAAGATTAAGAGTCTACCATGTAGCAATTTTTGATTAATTTAATCCGATTAAGGTCACAATTGAACCAAATGGAAATCAAATTAAGATGTGGAGTTTGCTGGTTTTAGTGGCAATATTGAAGTGAAGTACAGACATGTAAACACCGCAATCAAAACTATTACCGTTGTGTAGGACTTTTCGGAACATTTTGCAACAGCATAGTTTATACACACACGACTGTTTGACACTATTCTCTGCACCTACCGAGTCAGTGAAGCACCACAGACACCTACATCGCAAAATGCATGTTTTTTTTTTTCCCAAACAGTGTGTGATATCAAATCCTATTAAAACAACACTCTTCCAGCAGTTCATACTCGCTCCCAATATCTTGTTTGTCACGGGGGGCATGCATGAACTGTTCCTGAATGAAAGTGAAAGTGCCAAACTGCAGTTAAAGTCGACAAATTAAAAATGAAAGACCTGAAATTACATGAAGATCCGGAGGAAATGTGGATATTGTGGTGATGCAATGATGTTAATCAAATTATGTGCTTTAACATGTAAAACGGGATCATGACCTGATATAGATGAAGTCGTCGTATTTTGTATTTTGCTTGTTTATTTCACACACAAAAGTGTTAATGGAGCTTTGTATGATTACAGTTGAACCACTGAAGTCGCATGAAGTGTTTGGACAATAGTTTTGGGTTGAGTGTCTCTGGACTGTTTCTGTCTATGGAGGATGAGAGAGCTCTTAAGCCTGGTTTATACTTCTGCGTCAAGTGACCGGCATAACCCACGGCGCATGCAACGCCCGTAGCCGTGCATTTATACTTCTGCGCGCTGTCTCTGTTGGTCTGCATTAACACTTCCGAAACGCTAGTTGGCAGTGAGGTGTAAATGTTCCTCTGTGTCGAGTTTCTTCGCTGCTGTTTTGCTTTTTCTGAACACTTCCTGGATGTACAAGTGGCTCAAACTCGCTCATTTTGAGGCAGGAACCGGCGGACGTGCAACAACTTTAACTATGATGTAAACACAAAACAAAACTTTCCATCCCGAGCTCCTTCACGGGACTCCACACTTGTAAACAATTGCTCCATCAGGCTCGCACCATTCGCGCGGCTCTCAGTCCGCCCAGACTCGTCAGCGCTACCAAGCCGACCAATCACAGAGCTTGCGCTACGCGTTGTTGCGACGGGTAGTTAAATTTTTTGAGAGGTGCACGTCAGCGACACCGACGGCCACGGCGAAGGGCTATGCGTCAGCGCCGTAGCATACACCGGCGTTTGACGCAGAAGTACGAATCAGCCTTTAGAGTTCATCTAAAATATCTTAATTTGTGCTCCAAAGATGAACAAAGGTCTTGAAAAGTTTGGAGATACATGACGATGAGACTGGACTTTCATTTTTGGGTGAACTATTCCATTCAATCTACTAATAATCCAGTGACTGCTAGTTGACATATAGTTGCAAAGTTACTTATTGACAGCAGAATGTATACACAGAACCATAAAAACCTAGCCTAAACTAAATCACTACAATACAATACACAAGCTCACGAAAACAAACTTACATGAACTTATAAAACATCTTTCATTAAAGAAATTAGAATACCTGAAGCAAGAGTTGGATCTTTGTCTGCAACTTCTGAAAAAAGCACTTCCACCACACAGTTCTCTGGGAATCTTGGGTCTTGAATGGAGACAAAAGCAGATGATGATTGGAAAAGAGAATAAATAAAAAATATGCTGCACATAAATACTGTATACAAGCTCAATCACATCTGATGTTCTTGTAACTGAAGTGCACATTCGCTATGCAACACATATTTTCTCTTCTGTCCATCCTCATTAGGGTCATGTTGACTAAGTTTTTCGGTCCCACTTTATATTAAGTGTCTTTAACTACTATGTACTTACATCAAAAAATAAATACAATGTACTTACTGTGTTTATAATGTATTTGAGAACACTTGTGGTGCTTTTGAGTTAGGATAGAGGTTGGGTTATGGACAGGTTTGGTGGCATGGATAGGTTTAAGGGTGGGTTAAGGTGTAAGGGATGGTCAACAGTGTATTTACAAATGTAATTACAAAAGTTAATTACAGATGTATTTACATACATGTATTTAATCAAGCATAAGTACACAGTAAATACATGTGTTTACACAATAAGTACATTGTAACACATTAATTCCTGTGTAAGTACATATTAGTTAAGGCCACTTAATATAAAGTGGGACCAGTTTTTCTTCTGCATAAGGGTTAAAATGCCAGAAATAGTTGTCTGTCTGAAACGGTCTGTCTCCTTCTCAGATTTGTTTGGGTCAGATCTGTTGTGCGTCTTGTCTGTCATTATTTACTAAAAACACAAGGCACACTCACACGGTCAGTCACGAACACAGTCAAACATCAACATGTCTCCAAAATCTATGAATTTCACTACGTTAAATACAAAATATATAATCAAACTCACTCTAAAAATATAACAATAATAATTATGTGCATAAATATAAAAATGAAGTCAAGCCAACTTAACAGCAACAAGTCAGATTAACAAGTAAATCAACTTGTCACTTTTAAGGCAACTCACTTTTTTAAAGTAGCTAAATGTTTTTAGAGTTTAGGACCTGCAAACACCTGCTGGGTTTTTATAGTGAATGATAGTTTCTTAATCTGGGTTACTGTTAGCTAATCCTACATTAATGTGTTAGTGAATGCACTAGTTTAGTGGTTCTCAAACTGTGTTACGTGTACCACTAGTGGTACACTGACTTCCTTTTAGTGGTACGCGGAAGAATTAAATTTGTCATGTACATGCTACACACATTTCAAAATTTATCAAAATGATGTATATAATATGTCATATATGACACAAAGCCTATATTTCTGAGGTAATCTGCCACGTTTTTTTTAACTGTGCAGAGTTTTAGATGCTTTACTGCACCTACTACGCTACTGTATTTCAATACTGCTCATTTTTGGTGGTACTTGGAGAGACCATTTTTTTTCTGAGATGGTACTTGATAAAAAAAATTAGAGAACCACTGCACTAGTTGATACGAACTAATGGTAAATGATGAATTTGTTCATCATTACAAAATCTTTGCTAATTTTAGCTTACTTATATTCGAATACATCTCTTCACATTAACAGCTTATTTAATTAATTTACTTACACATAAACTAATGGATTTAATAATGTATTATCATAACCTAGCAATTAACATCTTTTTTTGTTGGGAAATAAATATTTGTTAACATACACTTACATATTCAGTAATGTGTTTATTGCATTAGTTACCATCAACAAATAATAAACAGTGACTCAGGTTCACCATCACACAATTTTCTAGAAAAACTTGGAAAATTAAGCTGTACAGATTACAGAAATTAAGTTGTGTCATTACTGCAACAATACAGTTTAAATTATTTTGCGGTAACTACAAAAAAATAAGTTGAGGTAACTAGAACGATGTCACAGTAAATAAAACAAGTTTAAGTAACTAACCAAAACTAAGTTGCAGTGACTAGAAATATTAAGTCACACTAACAAGTTTTACAGTAACTAGAACAATTAAGTTGCAGTAACTAACCAAAATTAAGTTGCAGTAACTAAAAACATTAAGTCACACTAACAAGTTTTGCAGTAACTAGAACAATTAAGTTGCAGTGACTAAACAAAATTAAGTTGCAGAAACTAGAAATATTAAGTCACACTAACAAGTTTTGCAGTAACTACAACAATTAAGTTGCAGTGACTAAACAAAATTAAGTTGTAGTAACTAGAAATATTAAGTCACACTAAAACGTTTTGCAGTAACTAGAACAATTAAGTTGCAGTAACTAAACAAAATTAAGTTGCAGAAACTAGAAATATTAAGTCACACTAACAAGTCTGCAGTAACTAGAACAATTAAGTTGCAGTAACTAAACAAAATTAAGTTGCAGAAACTAGAAATATTAAGTCACACTAACAAAATTTGCAGTAACTAGAACAATTAAGTTGCAGTAACTAAACAAAAACTAAGTTGCAGTGACTAGAAATATTAAGTCACACTAACACGTTTTGCAGTAACTAGAACAATTAAGTTGCAGTAACTAAACAAAATTAAGTTGCAGTGTTATGAAGGGGAGTGACACCGACAACCGAGGTTTGGATCCACTTGCAGGTTTATTCAAATTCAGGCAAGCAATGGTCAATACGGGTACAAACAGGTGTATAGAGGCAGTCCAGAATCGTAATCAGAAAACAGGCAAGAGGTCGTGAGGCAGGCGGCAGACTAGGACAAACGGCTAACAAGGCTAAGGTCTAAACACAGGTAAACAAGACAAGAAATCTTCTTTATAGTGTCACTATACAGCTAACAAGACAAGGCAGAGTGAAAGGGTGACTGTGTGGTTTAAGTAGTGTCTGCAATCAGTCTTTGACAATCCTCAGGTGGTGCGAGTAATCAGTCTAGATGAGAAGGCATGTGTGAGTGTGACCGGAGTGCATGTCTGAATGTGTAGTCCATCAAAGGCGGAAGTGTAGTCCATGGTTGTTGTTAGTGAGAACCAACGATCAATAGAGTAAGATTGCTGGTTATCGTGACATGCAGTAAATAGAAATATTAAGCCGCACTAACAAAATTTGCAGTAACCACAAAATAAGTTGCAGTAACTAGAAATATTAAGTCAAACTAACAGGTTTTGCAGTAGCTAGAACAATTAAGTTGCAGTAACTAGACATATTAAGTTGCATTTACAAGAAAAATGAGGTTGCAGCAGCTAAAAATTTAAGTTGCAGCAAGTACAAAAATGAAGTTGGTGTAACTATAAAAATTAAGTTTCAGTAACTAAAAATATTAAGTTGGGGTAACTAGAAGAATGAAGTTGCAATGACTACAAAAATTAACTTGATGTAACTAAAAAAATGAAATTGCAGTTAACAAAATCAAGGGGATTTAACTAAAAAATGAAGCTGAAGAACTAGAAAAAATAAGCTGCCATAACAATAAATACTAGGTTCCTGTACCTAAAAAAAATAAGTTCCAGTAACTATAAAGTATTAAGTTGCAGAAATAATAAATAATAAATAAAGTTTAATATAACTAGAAAAAAATAAGTTATGCCAACTAGATATACTTAAGAAGGTTCTAATATATGTTATAATAATGTGAATGACTTTACTAAAAACACTTCGGTTTACCTTTGTTGGCCAGATCCAGGTCTTCTTTCTGCAAGGCAAATTGTTTTGCACTCAGAGCAGCAGTGTGAAACTGAGCACGAAACAATGTTTCCTGAGTCCTCGTGGAAACATTTTTATGATAACACACAATCTGCAGCGACAGAGGAATAGAAGATGATCCACTGTGCAGCGTTCATGAGATCAGTGCAGTCTATGTGCGTGCAGTGTGAAAGAGACAGGAAAAGATGTCTCTCACCATGATATCACCTTTGATCATCTGAGGAGGATCCAGAACAAAACACACTCTGTCCATCAGACCGACATCAACCTGACTGAGAGTTACACACAAGCACTTAATATACATAATCCAGAATTTCTGCTCTTTTGTATTGCTTTAAAAAATCTTTATGTTCCTACTGCAGTCCTGAAGTGTATGCTGTCTGCGTGCCTTGATTTACTCTGATAAACAGCTGGCACACTGAAAACAAAACACATATGAAAAACATATTACGTTTCTTTATTCATTTTGGTTGCACTTCATTTTAAGGCGTAAATGTTACAGTGTAACTACTCATTACATGAGGATATTAATTAAGTACATGTACTTACTATATGGTTAGGGTTAGACTGCGGGTTAGGGGTTAATTGCATGCAGTTATGTATCATTGTAAATACTATAGTAAGTACATGGAACATGTGCAACAAGGAAACCTTAAATTTAAGTGATACCTATATTTTTTAGCTCATACTTTATTTTAATGGTCTACTTGTTGAATTTAAGTTACATTGCATCTGCATGCCAATTAATTCTCATTAGGTTATAAGTAGACAGTTAGGTTGGGGTTGCGGTTGGGGTTAGTGTAAGTTGACATGTATTTGCGAAGTTTCTTTTAGTCAGTTAAATGTCTGTTGAAGGAGCAGTATCAGCAGATATTAAGCAGACAGTCTACTAACACTCAAATAGACCATCAAAACAAAGTGCTACCCTTTTTTATTTCCCCACATGTAGTACTCAGTTTTGTTTCTACATGTTAGAAGATGTTTCTCCTAAGAATTAAAAATAAAGAAACACTGAAAACAGCATGATTTTATTAGCATTAAGTATTGCAGTTTTAACAATATTAATGATAATGCATTTTATTTATAGTGCGCTTTTCTCAGACCCAAAGCACTCCAGGCATACAAGGCAAACAATAAAAACAGTAAAAAAGACCACAATAAAACAATAAAATATGAACAATTCAATACAGATGGATGATAAAATTAACAAAAATAATCAATTAACGTTAAAAGGAACGGTAAAAATGTGAGTCTTAAGAAGTTTCTTTTTTTCCATAGCTTAGGGGCACTGTACGAAAAAGCACGACCACCCAAAGTCGTTAGTTTACAGCATGACTGGCTCTATTTTGACAATCCATGCGCAATGTGCAAAGCGCAGGGCGCAAAAGCATTAAGAGCAAGTCAGAATCCACATTTACTATTTTAAGGACAGAAAAATCAGCTTTGCGCTGTGGCACATGGTCTAACAGAGTTGAGCTTATTTTCTTAATGAGTTATAGGTGTATTTTGAGAATAAACCAATCAGAGTCTCATCTCACATTCCCTTTTAGAGTCGTCGCGCCATAGCGCTTTTCATATTTACATGGTGGACTTTGTAAGTGGAAAAACTGAGCGTTTCACTTGCAAGAAAACAGTTAAACAGAGCAACTACAGCGTGAGAATGAGAGATGAGCCTCCTTATTGTTTACTTTCACTTTCACTCTCGTGGATAGGGAAATTTCTTGCACACACAGATATCAATTAGCCTATAAATAATTAATTTAGTTTGTTAAGCGCAAAGATTTGTTTCAAAACTATTTCTAAACTCAGTTCTAATTTCCAGCAAACGAATAAATGAACAATAATAACGAAGTGTGCTCAAACAACTGAGTTATATCCTAATACACATGCTGTGCCCCATATGGTCTAAAACCTGACAGGTGGGCAAATCTAAGCTTGTTTTTAATAAAACAAATACAAATATGGATATAATAAATAAAACTGCTAATAATATTAACATTATACAAAAGCAAACTGTCATGAATAAACTGAAAAAGCCCCCTGAGATGAAGAAGGCATGAAAGTATGGTTTTTATATTTATGTAGGCTGGAAAATAATATGTTTTGTAATATTTTAATCATTTATATTTATATCCTATATATATCCTGTATATATTCTTAATATTTGAATTATTTTTCATATGTAAAGATATTTGCGTATTGCTGTACATCCTGTCTGTATTAAGCTGTGTGTCAGCGAGGCGAACAACTAACGCGTTCTGCGCTGGACAATAGACCGGCTTTGTTCTGGTCTAGAATAGTCTATTATATTTCCTTAAAATAGCAACGCACCAGCAATGCGCCTCAACACGCCTCCTTTTTTAGACCAGAACGCCTATGGGCGCACATATGAGCGCAAATGCATTTGCTATTTAAACAGCGTGGTGCAAAACGTCAAAACGACTCTTGCGCCAAGCTGAAACTAGCAAACAACAATTGTGTTGCGCCTTGCGCCAAATGTATGATAGGGCCCTTAATTTTATAATAACATTCATATATTTGAAAATACAAGCGAAATGAGAATACTAAATACATGCATGCATATGTCTATTGCAAAAGCTTAATTTAATGTTTGTATGTAATTATAAAGTACATGAAAATAGTAAGTTTTTATCATTTTAAATTTAAAAAAATCTGAATTACTTTCAGTTAACAATCGGTTAACCATTATTTTCAAAATATCTTCTTTTTTTTGGCTCTGCAAGGAAAAAAAACAAGTAAAAAGCAAGTATATTTTGTTAGATTTTCCCTTTTTTGGTGATATATTTTTGTAAGATTCCAGTTTGAAGTACAAGAGAAAGAAATACCTGAGATGCTAAAAGAGATTACAAATAATAAAACTATTTGGAAACTAAAACATAATTCTTGACTTGAAACACATGATATGTGGGTGTTTTGCTTACCTGTAGGGTGAAAGTCAGGAATGGGATGGATAGTAACATGATGGATGAAGAGCGGGGAATGGTTTAGCGGGATCTGATGCTTAAGAAGCCTGCCAAACACCTGCACATACCTGAACCATCCACAAACACCTCCGTCAGTGATAGCAGACAACAATAAATCAAGCCTATCATCGGTAATACTCCAGCACAACTTCAGATTAAGCCAATAACTGCATCGGTCTGGGCCTTATAGGCATTTATAACAGATTTTAAAGCGACAGCTCACCCAAAACTCAAAATTAGTTTACTCAATCTTCACTTGTTCCAAGCCTGTTTGATTTTCTTTCTTCTGTTGGACGCAACAGATTTTCTGAAGAATGCTTTAAACCTGTAACCATTGACTGTCAGTGGTTACAGGTTTTTAAGCTTTCTTTAAAATATCCTTTCTATTCCTTCAAAAGATCTTCTTTTAACAAAAGAAAGAAACCCATAAAGGGTTGGCACCACTTGATGGAAACTAAATAAAAAATTTGTTTTTTTTTTCGGGTGCACAACCCCTTTAATTAGATTTATGGAAGAACAAAATATTATAGATTTTATTCATAGGCGCCTTTTCATGGCAGTCAAGAATTGTATTTATTTTTATTACTCAAGTTTATTTGTACAGTATATCGCTTTTCACAATAATTATTATATAATCATCTCGATGTTCACATTACGGTTGTTTATGACATGGATTATTGCAAAATTTCATTGCAGCAATTACATGGCAGGGTGGGTTATATTTTCCAAGATTTTGTATGTGTGGTGTTGTTTGTTTGTTTATTTATTTATTTGGGTTTTAATGCCATATCAGCAGCACTGGCTATATTCATGGCAAAAAACATATATTAATAAATATACATTATACAGTTGAAGTCTGAATTATTAGCCCCCCTGTTTATTTTTTTCCCAATTTCTTTAGATTTTTTAACACATTTCTAAACATAATAGTTTTAATAACTCATTTCTAATAACTGATTTATTTTATCTTTGTCATAATGACAGTGAATAACATTTGAACAGATATTTTCAGGACACTTCTATACAGCCTAAAGTGACATTTAAAGGCTTAACTAGGTTAATTAGGTTAACTAGGCAGGTTAGGGTAATTAGGCAAGTTATTGTATAACAATGGTTTGTTCTGTAGACTATTGAAAAAAAAATAGCTTAAAGAGGCTAATAATTTTGTCTCTAAAATGGCTTTTTAAAAATGTAATACTGCTTTTATTCTAGCCAAATAAAACAAATAAGACTTTCTCCAGAAGGAAAAAATATTATCAGACATACTGTGAAAATTTCTTTGCTCTGTTTAACATAATTTGGGAAATATAAAAAAAAGAAATAAAAACTCCAAGGGGGGCTAATAATTCTGACTTCATCTGTATGTAATTTGAAAGGAAGCCCATAGAATAAAGCATTATATTAGTTAATTTTGTTACATTTGTTTGATAAGAGCAATGATTTATTTCTAAATTCAGTTCTAATTTCCAGCAAACAAATAAATGAACAATAATAACGAAGTGTGCTCAAACAACTGGGTTATATCCTAATACACATGCTGTGCCCCATATGGTCTAAAACCTGACAGGTGGGCAAATCTAAGCTTTTTTTTAATAAAACAAATACAAATATGGATATAATAAACAAAACTGCTAATAACAATAACATTATACAAAAGCAAACTGTCATGAATAAACTGAAAAAGCCCCCTGAGATGAAGAAGGCATGAAAGTATGGTTTTTATATTTATGTAGGCTGGAAAATAATATGTTTTGTAATATTTTAATCATTTATATTTATATCCTACATATATCCTTATTAAATCCTATATATATATCCTTAATTTTTGATGTTACACAAGTATGTTAAAAAGCAGCAGTGTTATTCAATTAAAGAGAGTTTACCCCCAAAAAAAAAACAAATAAATCTGCCATTATTTACTCGATCTCCACCAAGCATGAATGAGGTTCTTTCTGCTGTTGAACACAAAAGAATATCATTTGAAGAATGTTGGAAACTGGTAGCCATTGACTTCAATATTATTTAATTCCCTACTACTACAGTGTAAAACCCAAAAAGTTAAGGTAACTTAAACCATTTGAGGATACCAATTGCAACAAGCCATTTAAGTTCAAAAACGAATCCTAATGAGTATGGTAAACTTAATCCATTTGAGTAAATGAAGCAATTTGAGCACAGTAAAACTCGATAAATGAAGAGAACTTAAACCAACTGAGTACTGTAAAACCCAATAAGTTAAGGCAACTCAAACTATATGAGTACTGTGAACTTAATCCATTTAAGTTAAAGTTATGAGAGATTTAATTAACTCACCATTAACAACGAGTTCAAAAATGACCAGTTTCTAACATTTGTCAAAATATCTTCTTTTGTGTTCAACAGAAAAACAGAAACTCGTGAAGAACCACTTGAGAGTGAGTAAATGGTTGAACTATGCTTTTAGATGGCTTAAGAGCTTCTTTACAGTGATGCCAAAAGAGCTTCTTTGTGTTGTTCCAGCAACAGATCAGAGCTGAATATTTATGTTGCCGTTACGAAAGCTTCATTATAACTCATGTTACCTAAAAGTGTTTCTAGAGTCAATAGAGAACAGAGAGCATACGGGAAGGAAAAGGATCATACACTGAACAGTGGAGGGATACGTTTAGCATAAAAAAAAACTCTTCCTCAGTTTGCACGTGGCATGAGGGATGACACACGGTGGCCTTCAGGATGATGTAAAAAAGACAGTTGTAAATGAAGACAATTCACAGAAAAAGGGAAGTGGGTTTAATGTTAGGACTTCCAGGCTGCCTAAGGGGAATTTCCTGTCATGTGTGAGCCTGAATGTAACGTCCAGAGTGTAACCTTCACTCATGACACGCTGCTGAGTGACCAAGAGCAAAACCTCAGGACGATTCAAGGAGAAAAACAACAGATTTCATTTTAGCAACTGTTTTTTTTTTTTTTTTTTTTTTTTTTTTTTTAAGGGAGATGCTTTTAAAGCAGGGAGAGATTGGGCCAAGACTAAGCATTTTGTTACTTGTGCCTAATTTTAAACATGACCATACACTCAAAAAAACACACACACAAAAAAAAAGAATCACGATGAAGTGTCAGGTAATGTGTCAGTAAATGTATGTTGTCAGATTTCCTTAGGATAAATCTTAATCTGCTAATATATATATATATATATATATATATATATATATATATATATATATATATATATATATATATATATATATATATATATATATATATATATATATATATATATACAGTTGAAGTCAAAATTATTAGCCCTCCTATGAAATTTGTATTCTTTTACAAATATTTCACAAGTGCTGTTGAACAGAGCAAGAAAAATTTTTCACGGCATTTCCTTTTGTATTTTTCTTCTGGAAAAGGTTTTTTTTCTTTTATTTTGGGTGAAATAATTATTTATTTATTTTTTTAAGTAAAAACTGCTAAGGTCAATATTATTAGCCCTCTTAAGTAATTATTTGTTTGATTGGCTCCAGGAAAAAACTACTGTTGTCCAATGACTTGCCTAATTACACTAACTTGCCTAGTTAAGGTAATTAACCTAATTAAGCCTTTAAATTGCACTTATAGCTTAAAACCAGTGTCTTGAAAAACAAATAGTACGATAATGCATTCTGTCATCATGACAAAGACAAAAGAAATAAGTTTAGACTTGAGAAAAAGAATTGTTGAGGCTCACAAAGAAGGAGAAGGATATATATGTTTATCAAAGCGTTTTCAAGTGTCAAGAAGTGCCGTGAGAAGTATTATCAAGAAGTTTAATGAGATCCACACTGTGGAGAACATGACTGGCAGAGGTAGAAAGCGAAAGATTTCCAAAACTTTGGAAAGAAAATTAGTAAGAGAGGTTTCTAAAGACCCAAGAACAACTGCCAAGACACTAGTGAATGACTAAGCCAAGTCTGGAATTAATGTCTCAGCAAAGACGGTCACTAGAGCCCTGCACAGGAGTGGACTGAAAGGTTGTCGACCAAGAAAGACTCCTCTTTTAAAAAAGAGACACCTCCAAGCTAGACTGAAGTTTGCCAGGGGCAATCTAGAGAAAAATAATGAATACTGGATACGTATCCTTTGGTCAGATGAGACAAAACTAGAGCTCTTTGGCTATAGAGATGTTGCCTATGTTTGGAGGAAGAAGGGAGAGGCATTTAATCCAAAGAACACCGTTCCCACAGTGAAACATGGCGGTGGGAGTATAATGCTATGGGGATGTTTCAGTGCATGTGGAACTGGGAATCTTATCAGGGTTGAAGGAAACATGAAAAAGGAAAACTACCAGAAGATTTTGAAAAATAACCTCAAACAGTCTGCAACAAAACTTGGTTTGGGTCGACGTTTTGTATTCCAGCATGATAATGACCCAAAGCATACCTCACGTCTGGTAAAGAACTACCTTCAACAGAACAAAGTGAAAGTCCTTGACTGGCCTGCACAAAGCCCAGACTTGAATCCAATAGAAAATCTGTGGGGGACACTGAAGTCTAGAGTTCATGCCAGAAGACCAACAAATCTGGAAGAGCTGGGGAGATTTGCTAAGGAAGAATGGGCTAACACTCCTCAGGAGACATGCTTGAAACTTGTTGAGAGCTACAATAAACGACTGATGGCTGTTATCAAGCAAAAGGGTTACACTATTGACTATTAACATCAGAGGGCTAATAATTTTGACCTCCAAGCTTTTTTTATTTTTGATTATAATTGTGTTTCTGTTTGTATTACAAACACTCAAAGCTTCCTGAATAAACTGTTATGTTTAAAAATTATGTGTTGAAAAAATCTTTAATCCATTAAAAAGCACTTGGGAGTTATTTGAAAAATAATGAAATATTTTATAGGGGGCTAATAATTTTGTCTTCAACTGTATATATATATATATATAAAAGTAAGTAAGAAAAGCAAATAATTGAAAAATCTCAAAATGTCAAATCTCAAACAATGTCTCGCTTTTAGTCCATGGAAACTCATCCACTTATTATATAACAAAGTGGACTGCCAATGTATTAAAGAATGGAAATAATTTGGCTAGTTATGGCTAGTTAACTGTCAAATAAATGACTTCCCTCGGTATAGAGGTAAAGTATATCAAAGTAACCTTGTTAATTAATTCTCTGTAATACCCACAGGTTCATTCAACTGTAAGTACAGTAAC